TACAGAGGTGAATAAAATTGACATGGGCCCTACCTTTATGAAATTTACATCAAAGAAAGGAGGGATCCTTAAGTAAAACTTGGAGACTATGATGTTACCATTGTAAATGTCTAAACATTTCCTAAAAACAGGAATACCTGACATTTTTTACCAAACAGAGAAAGAAATATCTATGGGTGAATTATTTCTCATGATACAGCAGGCTAATACCATATGACCTTCTCAGTAATATATTACTGGCAGTTGAATTCTCAATCCAGACTCAATGTTTATGGGTTCTAGGCAACCTGCACAGACTGACTAGTGCCCTGACAGGATGACATCAAGAGTTTCTCCTTCGTCCCACATCATCTCTGTTTATATTCCTAACTTCCAGAACCACTAGTTTGCTCATTTAATTTTTGCAGAAGCAGTTGGTTGAAATTATACCATGGACTGGATCCTGGGAATATTATTTTGCTTGAAATGTTACTACGTGGTTAGGAATTATTTTCTTGTTTTTACTATGTTAGGTACTGGACTGATATTGTGAAATTCATACACTTCCACTTGGGAAAGTGGAAATTAACAAAGAACCTCCAAGTTGGAGCATTCAAATTTGGAAGTATTAAAGGAGCCTCACCCTATTTCATCAAGCAGAAGCCCAGAGGTTAGCCACAGAAGAAGGACCTGTGACCTCAAATGAGGCACTGAGCCTTAGAATAACATAAATATAAAATTATGGAGGGGGAATCATTGGACTTGTAATTTTTTGGACTTTAATATACAACAAAAGGGTATTTCATATTTGTATTTTAATTTCTTTCTGAAAATTTAATTTAAAAAATCATATTCAGAATTTATATTTGTGGGCAATTTAATTTTGTTGGCATTATATTATTTGGCATATTTTAACACTTGTGAATGTTTGTTTTACAGTTTCTTCTTTTGGGGCTATATTGAATACTATGACTAGAAAATTTTTGATGAGAAGTAGATTAGAGAATACATTTTTGGCTGAGACTGAAGTGTGTCCTTGATATTAAATCAATGCACACTGTGTTCTGAAGAGAGCCAAGCAGGGCATCCTGCTGGCTGATTCCCGCAGCTCTCTCTGGGTTGCCCGGCAACAAGCTGGCTGAAGTCAGAGTCCTGCTTTCTCCCCAGCAGTGGAGAAGGCAAACTGAGATGCTGCTGTTTCCAAGACTTCTGAAGAAGAGAGATAGGATTTTCCCCTTGCATTCTTAATCCAGTTTTATCATTAATGATACTAACATTGTATTTTGATCCATTTGGATCTTTATTTCTATTCGTCGATGTTTAGTACACAGAGATGAGGAAGTGGGCAGAAAGTGACTGATTAGGCTCCCTCAGTGTACATTATCACGTCATTCTATTCCCAGGTTGTTATGGTGCTTCCTACAGTCCAAGTCGCTTATAAGTAAGTGAACGGATTTACGAACTAGAATTCAATAACTGTGTTTAAATTTCTTCCTAACCTCAGCCAAATATGTAGAATGAAGCATCACAAATACTTTCTAAAGTGCATGCCAAGCTAATCTTCATGCTGAACACACTACAAAGAAGGTAATCTATCAGTCGTCAGAGCCTCTAATGAGGCTCAAGATATGATACTGCCCGAGATAAACTGGCATGTCCCCTTCTTTCTTCAATCTTTAGAGTAATGACTTTACAACATGGTGAGATGCCCAAGACAGAAACTAAGAGCTCACCTCCACCTTTTCACACTCCCACTCGGCTGATCATCCATTCAGTTCCAGTACTCTATTTTTTAAATCTTCTTATATTATCATACTTTCCCTCTTAGTGCTCCCACTTTGTTTCACACCTTGATCACACCCTGATGCCCTCTTAAAAGAAATCCTAGCTACTACACTGGCCCGTGTCCAGCTGCCTGTCCACACTGATTCATACTACAATACATTTTTAGAACACCATCTGACTACATTGCTCACTGGCGACTCTTCACAGCCCAGAGGATGAAGTACAAACATCATAGCATATCGGGTAAGAATCTTTATTGCCAGATCCTGCAGGCCTTTCTGTTCACATGCCCATGTATGAAACTGAGTTGTGACTTCTCAAACACACTGTGCTGTGGAACTAAGAATGTTTGATAAACCTCTACTAAACTCTTCAATCTAGACTCCTCTCCAAATGGAGTCTCTTCCATAACCCCAACTCTGCAGATGTTTTCTCCTTCATGTCTCTCTGGCTTGTAGGTTACTGATGGACTTCCTTCAGTAGCATACTTTGGAGAGTGTAGGGAGTGCAGACGTGAGTTGAATTCCCAGAAACATTTCTTACTCGCTGTGTGGCATTGGGCCTATTACATAATCTTCCTGAGCCTCAGTTTCCTCCCTTTTTTTTTGAGATGGAGTTTCACTCTTGTTACCCAGGCTGGAGTGCAATGGTGTGATCTCTGCTCACCACAACCTCTGTCTCCTGGGTTCAGGCAATTCTCCTGCCTCAGCCTCCTGAGTAGCTGGGATTACAGGCACACGCCACCATGCCCAGCTAATTTTTTGTATTTTTAGTAGAGACGGGGTTTGGTCTCAATCTCGGATGGTCTCAATCTCGACCTCATGATCCACCTGCCTCGGCCTCCCAAAGTGCTGGGATTACAGGCGTGAGCCACCGTGCCCGGCCCTCCTCCCTTTTGGTTCTGAATAATAACACCTCCCACATCCCCTCATGTGGATATTGGCAGGATTAGGTAATAGCTATTAAGTACATCATAATGCTGGCTCATAGAGCTAAAGCAGTAATTTTTAATTATTTTATTTAATTCCCTCTCCATCTTAGCTAGGTGATGAGATCCTTAATGAGATTGTAAATCTTAAGCATCTAGTGCAATGCCTTCACATAACGAGTAGTCAAAATGAAATATTACTAGTAAATACATTCATAAGCCAATGTCAATTAACAAACATTTATTGATGAACTATGATGCTCAAGGAATTAATGTATGTGCTTTCAGAGATGCAAAGCACCTTGAAATTCACCTTGGAAAGACAAGAAAGAATTACATAAAATGATTATAACTACTGTACTACGACACAGGCCAACTAAATAGCTCTGACAGCAGCAGTCATGGTCTCCAGTTAAAACTGATTTTACAAAGATATAATTACCATGTTTCATCCCAAAATTAAGAATCTTATTATGACCAAAGTTTAAAATAAGAACTACTTAATTAATCTTTCCATAGTAGAACCTATGACTCTAGAAGAAAAAAGATATCCAAAGGAACACCAAATGTATTTAAATGTTCAAATACTTGGAGAGATTTGTTTCCTTTAAAGCAAAAGTAAGTAGAAGCTAGGATATCTGTCAAAATCTGAATGAGATGTTTTGCGAGTGACTTTCCTTTTTTTGTAGATCCTACTAAAGACACTTCCTGGTCATTATGTGTTCTCTCTGAGACACTGTTCTTACCTTTTCATAATCCTTTCAAATTTATTTATATTTAATTGACAAATAATAATCCCACATATTTATGGGGTACAATGTGATACTACAATATAGGTAGACACTGTGGAAAGATTTAAGTAAGTTAATTAACATATTTATCACCTGACTTAATTATCCATTTCTCAGTGGTGAGAACATTTAAAATCTACTTATAATGAATTTGAAATGTTTTATAATTAACTTTAGTCATCATGTCACTCCATTACGAAAATTTATCCCTCTTACCTAACTGAAACGTTATATCCTTTAACCAGCACCTCTCCTTTCTCTGCCCACCCTCCTCATCCCCAGCTCTGTCACTCCAGCCCCAGTAACCACTATTCTAAGCTCTACTTCATGAGTTTGACTTTTTTAGATTTCACTTATAGGTGAGATCTAGGACTATTTGTCTTTTTGTGCTTGGCTTATTTTACTTAGCATAACGTCCCCCAGGTTCACTCATGTTGTTGCAAAGGACAGGATTTCCCCCCCTTTTTGAAGCTGAATAGTATTCTACTGTGTACGTATACCACATTTTCTTTATCCACTTATACAGTGATGGATACTAGTTTGTTTCCATATCTGGCTACTGTGAGTGATGCTGCAATGCACATGAGCATGCAGATACCACTTCGACATACTGATTTCAGTTGCACTGGATACATAACCAGAGGCAGAATTGCTGGATCATATGGTAATTCTATTTTTCCCATAATGGCTGTGTGAATTTACATTCCCACCAGTAGTGCAGTGTGCAAGGCTTTTCTCTACATCCTTGCTAACACTTGTTACATTTCATCTTTTAAATTAGAGCCTTTCTAATCTGTTGATGCTCCTATATGATGAGGTGAGTTTAGAGGTAGGAAAAATGCATGTCTTGTTCTTATGCATTTTTCTTCATCTCATAAAAGATTCTATAGTTTTAATGAAATCAAATCAGCACAGAGGTCAGCATGGTGCCTAGAGAGAGACAGAAGCTAAGGGAGGAAGAACATGGAAGAGAACAATTTTCTGGTTTTGTGAAGATTTGTAAGGTGAAAACATATGGGAAAAATAATGACTCTATTCAAAGAGTTTCCTCTGGGAAGGTGCTAATGAGGATTATCTGAAATTAGAAAGCTCGATTTAGAGACAGATACTACAAAAAAAGAATGCCTGCCAATCCAAATTACAAATTAACGACAGTTTTCTATGGCTTTTCTGCTTGTTGTATGTAAAGGCTATTTGTTTAGAAGGATTTTTATATTAAGCAAAACATTCCTTTCATTGATATTCTGTGTAGATTCCTCTTTAAAAAGAGAAATCACACTGTGATGTCTGAGTTTGTTACTGTGAATGGCTGAGGGCTGGAGAGTCTATTGTATTATCCTGATTATATCTTTTAAATTTTGTATCATTTCGAGAAATGTTATATTCAGATACATTGTTTGTTCCTTGGAGTTTCCCACACCATACATGTGTTTTTTTTCCTTGAAAAATATCATTGTGATTGGTATGAGTTTGTCTTCGATGATTGCTTTACCTCAAATGCAGAGATAGGCCATCCATGTTCAGGGTTCTGCTGTCCATGTTTTCTCCTTTCCTTGCCTACAATGCCCCGAGATCTTATTGCACTCACTGACACAGTGCCACCCTTTTATTGTCATTGGTTAGCCACTGCAAGGTATGCACACTGTTATGCACAAGCTGTATATACTGCTCACCACAGGGCCCTGGAGAGGCAGCTAGCTACATGTCAATCTTCTGATGCTTTATTTGACAGCTACCCTAAGCCTGTGCCAAAGAAGTTATGGCTGCCATTCCCATCACATTCCTGAGGTCAAACTCTGACCTATGCAAGCATATCCTAAGCCCGGAGGGTAAGTGTTCTATGCTGCTCTCTCTCTCTTTTTCTCTCTCCCTCTCTCTTTTTCTCTCTCCTCTCTCTCTCTTTTCCATTATTTCCATATCTTATATTGGTAATGAAATTGACATACCAAAAATTATGGTACGTCACTTTCTGCAGAGAGTGTGCATGGAGCTTTCTCAACCTGCACTGCTGACCAGACTGCAACTTTTGGTGGCCGTGGACAGAAACTCAGGCAGGAGCCCTCTGCGATTCTGGGATTCAGCAACCAAATTTGTATGACCCTCTCGTTGTACTCCTTGATCTCTAGCCTGAGAAATGAAAGTGTGAAACAAGCTTCAAACAAAGTACTTAAAGAACAAACTTTATTCATGAAAATAAATGAGAAGATGATGAACTTCTAAAGGAATTTTGAATATTCTTTTCTTAGCAGCTTTCAGAAACTGTGGATTAAACAGTATTATGTCTTTAACTTTATTCCTAAATCCTATATCCTAGTGTGAAAATTTGCTAGTACCCAGGCTTTTAAAGTAAATAAAGCTTATTATGTGAGTAGCAGATAATCAATTGCTATTTATCATTGGATTTGCCTGCAAAATAAACAATTTTTGGTTCTCTTCTGATTTCTATGGAAGGAGCCTGGGAAGAGAGCCTAGATCACTGCAAAATATCCACTAAAAATCATAATCTCCCTTATGTCAGAACACTGAATTTTAAACATTTTTTAGAAGACAGCTTACTAAAACTTAAACATTTTTCAATTTTTGTACATGAAGAAAAAGTTAAGAAGATTTTCTGGATGAGACAGGATTCCTTTTTTGGAATAAAGCTAAACTATATAGGGAAAAATTCACCTCAATTATCATGAGATTGCATCTCTTTATGTTCTTATGGTCAGAATTATCTTAGATTATGTTCTATACAGCTTTGTTTTTCTATTAATAAGAGCAAAATTCAAGGAATGTTGTTTAAATAAAGTGTTGTTATTTTGTTATTTTTTAAAATGCATGCTGACTTCCGTAACTGGAAAAGTTGGCCTGAGGTTTGAATCAACATGTTTCAAGCATTGAGTAGGAGGCAACTGAAAAGTGTATGACTCACTGTTAAGCCTATTGCTGATTTTTATGTACAATAAGGAGGCAGCATTGAAAGGGAGAACATGGACAAGAAATTGATAGTGCTCTGTCTAATAATGTGAGACACTTATTCCATTGCGAGAGAGGCAGTCTTGCAAATTATCACAGTTTAAAGTATATGTTTCTTCCCATAAACATAGGCTTTACTGATTCTAAAATTTAATGTTTTCCCATGGGAGACTGGTAAGGCTAAGCAGGTAGCTCATAGACATGAAGGTAAGCAAAGAGGAATACTGAAACAAACCAGGGAAGTCAATGCTGCTGGAGGTGGCGTGATGAAGGTCAGGGTGAAATTCATTCTCATGGGTAGGGATTAGGCTTTCTAGAAATTTGATTACTAGTTACAGAAAAGGATTAGAAAAAGAACTTTCAGAAAGATGTGGGCATGAAGGGAATGAAGCAAGTTTAAAAACCAGGCATATCTAATTCTGCAAAGGGTTCAACATTTTGGGTGAATTTCTCTTGTTCATGAAAAAACCAATACTGCAATGCATAATTTATAGAATTGTCATAATTTATAGAATCACACCCATTAAAACATCTGGTATATATTCACAACCCATGAGTGATATTGTGAAGAATAAAAAAAAAAACATGAGGGGGAAGTGTGGTCTGTTTCACTGAAAGGAGAGGCCTTATCAGCTGGACTGTCAAACTTGCCTACAGATCCAAATGGATCACACTACTTAGATGAAGAACCTACTCAATTGATCATAAATGAGCCATATTTTAAAGGTTTCTAAGTTCTGTGAAATGTTCTGAGGATACTGAGAGCAGCAGAACCTGGATACTGAGATTCCTTACCATATGATGTGATTAATGTGATGGGCTGCAGCAAAACAGAGCAGGTGGCATGTCCAGGAAGGATCCATATGATTAATATGGAATTCCAGCTTCCTTTTGCTGAAGAATTCTCATATATTTAATTCATCTTTTACAAACAAGCATGGTCCATGAAGTGGTGGGGTCTGGAAGCTGTGCCTGGGCTATTTTATGAATTCTCACTAGAAGTGCACATGCTGTCCAGATGTGCTTCTCATCTGCAACAATGTCTTAAACTATGTAAGCTCCATATTGGATTGAGAGTGTCCTGTGAGTTCGTTTATCAGGCTGTGATGACCTCAGAGCTCCACTGTTGGCAGCTCACCCATATTCTCTCCTCCACAGTTTCTCTAGTATTGAAATGATCAGAGAGCCAGACAGAGCTCAGTAGCAGCAAGAAGGACACACAGTACTGAGGAGATAACTTCCAGGGAGATAACTGAAGAAAGACAATAGATAAAGCATTTCCTGTTATGTCCCTGGGGAAGATGACTCTACAACAGGGCGAGAAGGCTAAAGCTTAGGTTCTACTGTGGCCTTAGAAACACAGAGTGACATAGTGAAAGAACTTCAGTATTAGATTTCCCATGCCATCAATTCTCTCTTTCTCTTCCTAGGACGGAATCAGAAGACTCTCAGTAGAGTTTCTCAGTGGAAACTAGACTGCATCTACCTAGGGAAGGTAAAATATAAGATCCTCTTAATGATAGTTATTGGGTCAACAGCAGCAAATCTCCAAAGAACTCTGAATTATTCCAGCAAAACCTACATAGGAATGAAATAACCAGATAAATGGTGAGAAATGAAAATGTACCTAATCTTAAGTGGCATGAGGGCACTAAAAGTCCTCAGAGATAAGTGATACTAAGATGGAAAGTGAGATATCTTGTCAAATATTGAATGCTGACTTGAGATGCAGGCCAGTTTCCTCTTATCTCCTTAAGACACACATCACATTATCTCACAGCTGCATGATAGAACACAGTTGTCATGTTTTCCTATGCTCTGTTCTTGAAGACCCGTGATGACCTCAAGCTCATTAATACTTGCCCTCTACTTGTTCCTGACATTGCTTGATGTGCATCTGTTTTTATTATTTACAGGACCTACAGAATCAGTCTGCTATCTACTTTTAGCCCCAACTCCCACTTTTCACTTTTTCTCACCTAGGCTTTGTTCTCTTGGGGCAGAGAATGTGAAAAAAACATATAATTTACAGTGTAGTTATGTTCAAACGAGTCACACCTGCCACCTCCTTTAATTCCAGGGTTTACCATTGGTCATTGCAGAGTGTTCGAAAAACAAAGGTTTCAAAATCCTTAGAAAGTCACCATGAAAAGAGGGTGCTTCTGATTCTAGAAGAAATAGTAAGTGTGTATAAACTTTGATTTCTTTCTCTAAACACAGAGAAATTACAGTGAAAATGGAATAAATACTAACTACAATTGAAAACAAGAAAAAAAGAATTCTCTATTGTCATAATTTTTTTTTGAGATGGAGTCCCGCTCTGTCGTCCACGCTGGAGTGCAGTAGCATGAGCTCAGGTAACTGCAACCTCTGCCTTTCAGGCTCAAGTGATTCTCCTGCCTAAGCCTCCCAAGTAGCTGGGATCACAGGCATCCGCCACCATGCCTGATTAATTTTTGTGTTTTTGGTAGAGACAGGGTTTCACCATGTTGGCCAGGCTGGTCTTGAACTCTTGACCTCTGGTAATCCACCCACCCTGGCCTCCCAAAGTGCTGAGATTATAAGCATGAGTTACTGCACCCAGCCTGTGATATCTTACATATTAAAAATATGTAAATTTTCATTCATGGTTCCTGGCTCATAACTCCCATAGCTCCAGTTATTGCCTTTTGTTATAATGTAGGGGCATTTAGACCTCGGAAAACAGAATCTCTCTGACCTTTTTTTGCCTTTTTTCACCAGCCCAAGAGGGACTCTAATTTTCCCCTGCCTTTCTGATCTGGGGCCATAAAATTCTCATTCCAGAGAGGGTCCTGCCCTGTACCCAAGAGGATGAAATGCTGCACAGAGGCCAAAAAGAATCTGAACAGACAGGCCTTGCTAGGTTTCACCACTCAGTCTGTTAGTGTTAGATCACACTCTTGTTTTCCAGTCATAGTTCTATATGGTTGCCCATGCTTCGATCCTGCCTATACAATGAAGCCTCTATAAAAAGCTCCAGAAGACAGGGTTCAGAGAGCTTCTGGATAGCTGAGCATGTGGAGTTTACTGGAGGGTGGTGCATCTGGGAAGGGCAGGGAAGCTCCTCACCCCTTCCCTCATATCTCACCCTACAGATCTCTTCATCTGTATCCTTTGTAGAATCTTAGAATAAACTGGTAAATATAAAAAGTGTTTTTCTGAGTTCTATGAGCCACTAGCAAAATAATCGAGCCCAAAAAGGGGGTTGCAGGAACCCCAACCCTAAGCCAGAGTTTCCAAAGGCCCTGACTTGTGACTGGAGCCTAAGTAGCAGCGGCATTGGGAAAGCAATCTTTCTTGGGGATTGAGCCCTCAGCCTGTGGGATATGATGCTACCTCTAGGCTGACAATGCCAGAATTGAATTGGAGGACAGTCAACTAGTGTCTGCAGCAGAATTGATTGGTTGCTTAGTGTGTGGGGAACCCTCTACCCACAACATTTGATCATAGAAGTCTTCTGTGTGGATTGTTGCTGTTGAGCAAGACAATAGGAAATAAGCACATTGAGTATGGTTTATGCCACTCTCAGACTGTGGAAAAAAAAACCCGGAAGATCCTGAATCAGGGCACCAACACCACCCATTTGAGGGTGAAGCCCAAAGCTGCTCTAGCAAGAGTGGAGCCAGAAATCTGCCAGCCCAGCAGGCTGTTAGGCCAGTGCTACACCTCACCAGGGCCAGGGGTTAGTGCTGCCGAATAATCCAGGAGGGACTCGCAAATGAGAACTGTACCGGAGTTATTAGCAGAAGATTTATGGAAACCAACACTCCTAAAACACACACAACAAACTCTAAAACCAGAACAGTTTATAGCTTAAGAGATAGAAATACTCTGGGAGGCCAAGTCAGGTGGATTGCCTGAGCCAGAAGTTTGAGACCAGATTGTACAACATGGCAAAAGCCCATCTCTACAAAAAATACAAAAATTAACTGTGTGGTGGAGATGCTTGTAGTCCCAGCTACTGGGGAGACTGAGGTGAGAGAATCACTTGATCCCAGGGAGGCTGAAGCTTCAGTGAGCTGTGATTGTGCCACCATGCAGCCTGACAGCAGAGTGGGATTCTGTCTCAATAAAGAAGAAAGAGAGAGAAAAAGAAAGAAAGAGAAAAAGAGAAAGAAATAAAGAAGGAAATTTGACTACAGCATCTAAAAGAATTTAAAATATAAGCGTTAAAGAGGTAATAAAAGGAAAAACAATATTTTGAAAGAAGAATAGATAATGCTGAAACAGGGAGAGAGA